GGCAAGAACGTGGCTTCTTCCTCGGCTCCTCCACCACCGGCGCACAAGTACCTCGACGGGTCGTTCCTTTGGTTCAACGACCACGTAGAGGCGACGCGGTTCTCGGAGAAATTTGAGCACCGGGAGATTCTCCCTCCCCGATTCTCCACCGCCCGCTTCATTCATGACTCCATTCCACGTGAGGCACGGATTATCCTCGAACGTGGAAACTTCCTCGATCTCCTCTACATCAAGAAGGTCAACTATCAACCCTTTCTTGTTCGAGCTTTCTACTCGAACTTGAAAAAGGATGAAGACGGAGCATTGATCTCTAACGTCAACGGGGTGGACATCTATTTGAATGAGGACATCTTTTAATACGCTTTCGTTATGTACTCCGTTATTTCCCTTAATTAATTAATAAAAATCTTTATGATTTTGTTGTTAACAATCTTTTTGTTAATGTCAAAAGGGGGAAGATAAGGGCTATGCATATATTAAGGGGGAATTTTTTATTAAAAAGATCAAAATCCTATGCATATCCCCGTCTTGTTTGCCATTATCAAAAAGGGGGAAATTGTTGGAACACACTTTGTACGATAAACTAAAGTCGTGTTCATTTCTGACAGGTTTTGATAATTGCCAAACCGCCGTGGATATAAAGAGTTTTGTTGAATAACTCAAGGCGTGAAAAATGGCTTGGAACAAGACCTAAAAGACTCAAGGACAAGATCAAGAATTGAAGACTTAGTCGAGTCGATCTTTTGTGATCAAAACCGACAATAAATTCAAGTCTCGGTTCTCAAGAAGTCAAAACAATTTTTACAAATCATAAAATATTTTTTGTGCATCAAAACAATCATTTTTTATGATTCCTTTTATTGTTAAAATCCCTGGTCCTTGCTCAGAACCAAAACCACCTAAGTCGGCGTTCGGCTTTCGACATTCGGCTTTCGGCGTTCAGTTTTTGGCGCCCGAACCAACTCCGTGGTTTTCAATATTTTAAACCCTGTTTTTACCTCTGAGCATTTTTAAAATGTTCCCAAATAATTATTTTATCAGTCTTTGCAACCAAAATCCAGAATCTTCTGAGAGGACCAATAATCGATTATCACTTGTTGACAATCGATTATCTGGGTTACCGTTGTCCTCCAACGGATAGAATTTTAAATTTTTGGACAGGGAATCTTTGGATAATCGATTATCAAGCTTTGATAATCGACTATCAGCCTGTGTCCCTGAAAAATTTGTCTTCATCCTGTAGGAAATTTTAGCAACGGGTTTATCCCATTTTGGGCTATAAAATGGCACCCAAATCCTCTCATTTTACACACAATTCTTCAACATTTCAATACTCCTTCATTGCATAAGCATTCCTATTTTTCTTAGCTATTTGAGAGCCAATTCTTGAAGAAATTGTCGTGTTCTTGAGCGTTTACTAGTTCACTCATATCTACTCTTTGTGAGAGTTTTATTCCTGAGTGTTTAAGTGTTTTCATACACTTTANGTTCCCTTGTTGTAAACTCGAAGGAAGTTCCTTGTTCCTTCGTGAGAAGTCTTGGAGTGCGGTATCTCCGAGCAAAGGTGTTGAGGCTCGTGTGACTCGGGTTCTCAAGTTGTATCGGTTTGTTAAGCACCCTTAAGCTTAACGGAGTTAGTGTAGCTCGAGAGAGTCTCTCGGGGGGCTGGATTAGCCACACGTTGTGGTGAACGAGGATAAAATCCGGTGTGCTCCTTCCTTACGCTCTTTACTTTAACGCTCTCGTTTTAATTTCCTGCAATTTTGTTTCAAACGCTATTCACCCCCCCTCTGGCGTTGGGCCTTTATTCTAACACTTTGAAGGCTTTTAATGCTATGCCTTTCCTTTGGTCATTCAAAGACGGGTTAAGTATAGTAGATTCATAAGTTTTTAAGTTACCTCTTAAACCGTCGATGGTGGCATTTGATGTGCCGATTGACTCATAGATGGAATCGGCCTTAGATCGCCATTCAGATGTCAAGCTCCGTAGGATCTTTCGTACAAGATCCCTGTCGGTGTAAGTCTTCTTCAATGCATGAAGATCGTTGACTATCTTGGAAAATCGGTCGAACATGTCGTCAATCTTCTCGTGCTCCTTCATCTTGAACATCTCATATTCTTGGGTGAGGAAGTCAATCTTGGCTTCACGTACTTGGTCCGTTCCTTCGTACGTCACCTCAAGTTTATCCCACATCTCCTTGGCGGTTGAGCAGTAGGAGATCTTGCGGTAGTCATCAGGATTTACGGAACAATAAAGCATGTTTATTGCCTTTTCATAATTCTCGACCTTTTTGATGTCCTCGGCATCAAACTCGTCTTCGGTCTTGGGGATCAACTTGTCTCCGACTTTCTTCATTGGCACCTCTTCCCTGTTTTTGATAACAAACCATAATTGGAAGTTCGTGGAACCAATATAGATTCTCATTCGTTCTTTCCAGTATGTATAATTGGTTCCATCATAAAGAGGTGGTCGTGTAGTTGATTGACCTTCTCCAATCTCTGCATAAAGATTTCTAGAAGAAGAACCCATGATCGCTTTACTCTCAAACGGTTAAGTTTGGAAGCGAGTTAGGCTCTGATACCAATTGTTAGAATAAGTGACCAACGCTAGAGGGGGGGTGAATAGAGTTTAATCGTAGAAATCGCAGGAATAAAAAATTAAGAACGTGAAAGATAAAGAGCGTAGAAAGCGTAAAGGGAGCACACCAAGATTTACCCTAGTTCACCATAACTTATGGCTAATCCAGCCTCCCGAGAGACTCTCTCGAGCTACACTACTTCCGTTAAGCTTACGGGTGCTTAACAAACCGTTACAACCTGAGAACTCGAGCCCCACGAGCCTCAACAATATTTGCTCGGAGATACCGCACTCCAAGACTTCAACCCGAAGGAAAATACCTTTCCTTCGTACAACTAAGGGAAACAAGCTTCCCTTAACGTGTATACAACACTAAGACACTCAAGAACAAGGCTCTCTTTTAGAGTAGATGTTGAGTAAACTATATACGCTCAAGAATAACTCAAACTTCACAAATTGGCTCTAGAAAGCTATGGAAAATGATGTTGTTTTAATGCAATGATAATATGAATAATGTGAAGTGAATTGATAAGAAAAGCAGACCCAAACACCCCTTTTTATAGTGCAAAAATAGGCTCCAACGGACCAATGCATTAAAGAGGTGATTGGCTTGATTTAGGGGATTGAAAAGATTTGGGATCTGCAGGATATTGGCTTCCCATCGATGTTTGGGACTTACCCATCGCTGGTAAGCCAAATTTCCTTTAGTTTTTAAGCCAACGGTTGCCTACCCATCGATGGGTAAATGCTTCCCATCGCTGGGTGGGAGGTTGACTTTCAAACAAGGAAAGAATCAGCCTTAAATGACTACCAACGGTCATGCCTTCCCATCAATGGTTTAACCTTACCATCGCTGGGCTCCCATCGATGGGATAGGTTTCCCTTCGTTGGGCAAGGTTGTTCTGGCTTGTGATAATGTTGCGCCAAGGCTTTAACAGCGATGGGTAGAACTCCCCATCGCTGTTTAGCATGGTTCTGGAAATTGGTTTGGCTTAGGGACCGCTTACCCATCGATGGGAAGATTTTCCCATCGCTGGTTGGGTGGTTAGCCAAAACCCCATGGTCTTTGCCTTAACCACAGCCTAGCCAACTAATGCAAAAACCAACCGAAAACTCCAAAGTTCTCCAAAATAAAAACCAAGTGTTTGAAACACTTATTTGATGTATTTGGCTAATAAATCAAGTGAGTTACTTTAAAAACCACGTCATTTGAGTAAAAAACCACGGCTAGCCAAGTTTACGCTGTTTTGCGTGGTTTTTGTCTAACGACTAAAAGTGAAAGATGGTTTTCAAAGTGTTTTTGTTGGAGAACCGTTTAAAAATGCCAAAGAGTGAAAGCAGATCATAAAATTCTGAAAACCACTTGGTTGGTTCGGATGCCAAAAACCAAAGCCAATAACCGAAAACCGAACGCTGGTTTCTGAAAGCCGAACACTGGATGGCTTGGTTTTTGGTTTGGGCGGACACCTAGTGTTTTTAATGACCTAAACAAGTTTGAAAAAAATTTTTATGATGTAAGAAATGCAATGAGAGATTTTAGCCTAAAGAGCATGGGTGTAAAGATTGGGTCGGTCTTGATCACAATAAAGACCGACTCAATACTATGACTAAGGTCTTCGTTCTTGGTCTTCGTTTAGCTCTTGCTCTTATCTTCTTTCTTTGCCTTGTATATTCAATGTTCGACTTGATCACGGCGGTTTGGCATTATCAAAACCTGTCATAAGAACAAACACGGCTTTAGTGCGAAAAATGTGACAAGCCCGTGTTTCAACAGACTCTGCAGAGAAGAGGAAGAAGTGGGTGCACTCGGCCTACGTAGGCGATGTTAGTAGAGCACTTGGACCATCCAAGATGGTAAGGTAGGAACCAATTCTCTTTGGTCCTAAGGACGCACCAAAAATTCTCTCCCCACACAGAGATGCCATGATCTCTGAGATCAACGATATGGTGATACATCGTAATTATGTGGACAATGGAAGCTCTTTCAACATCATGTACATCAAGATATTCGAGGAGCTGGAGCTGAAGAAGGAGCTCTTGCGCAGGGTAAGAACCCCATTGACGGGATTCACCGGTAAGAACATCATCGACGCGAAAGGTTTGGTCAAAGTAATGGTCACCTTCAAAGACGGAGAGCACATCCGTCTAGAACGAACATGATGGAATGAATGCATTGATTAAAGAAGAGAGTAAAATTCAATTCATACATATGTGTTTGATTACGATTTGTTCAACATGATGGCCCTGGGTTCAGAACTGGCTGATAATCGATTATCTGCTGTTGATAATCGATTATCATGATGTGCAGCTTCTGTCCCCAAACTCCTGCAGACTGTGATAATCGATTATCACCCTATGAAAATCGATTGTCAAGTTGGTTTATCTGGAAAGTCCTAAGTTCAGAGAGACCTGATAATCGATTTGTCTGTGTGATAATCGATAATCAGTGAAGCCAACTCAGACCCAAGAATCCACAGAGCCTGATAGTCGATTATCACATATGGGATAATCGATTGTCACGCTGTACTGAACCAACTGAGGAGTCTGGCGTGGCCTGATAATCGATTATACTATCCTGTAACTCGATTATCAAGGCACGTTGATCTCCATTTTACTCCCTCTGTCCCCCATAGATCTTCTCAATAGCCCTTTTTCTTTGTCCACAATAGATCTTCTCATTTCATTTTTTAACAATTAAAATACCACAACTACCCTCACTTACTTTATTTATTACATCTCACCCACCTCATTTAAAACACTCCACCCATTTTTCATTAAGGGTATTATGGTAAACTTTCACCTTTTTTCAACTCTCCTTAAAAACCACCTAAAGTCAAAATGAGAACATCTTAGGGGGACGGAGGGAGTATTTGTTTGTAGCCATAGAACGTTGGAAGTTTTTTTAAAATCGAATGTTTTCATTTCCACGCTAAGTAGTCGATGAATTTACGAGGTTCCAAAACATTTATGTTAACGAGTACATAACTTAATAACATGGGCTCACATAAGCTGGATACGAACATGCATAGATTCAACGTAGGTTGCGTACGATATTCCTATGAATATAACGACATAGATTATAACTAAATGTTCTAGAATTAGAGGGACAACTACTCACCTCTAAACGTAGGGGTTGACAGAATGTTGAACGAACGACGCTAACGAATGGATGAACGATCACCAACAACCTTACGTGTTTCTTCTCCTCTACCTTCTTCTCCTCCTTCACGCCGGAAGCCTCCCCCTTGACTGCCTGCTGGCCGGCCGGAAAACCCCAAAAGAGGAAGAGGAAGAGAGTGAGGGAGTTATGGGTGTTTGGGAGTTACAACCTCTAAGGGAATGTGTGGAAAATGGAGAGGGGAGGTGTTTAAATTGAAGGGGAGTAATTGGGAGAGTAAATGATAATGATGGTGATGAGTTGTGGCGTGTGAATTTGTGCTAGGAGTTACATCCCTTAATTTTATTCCGTTGTGTAAAATCTTACCTGAACGGTACGCGCTTTTTCCCCCGAACGGGTCCGAATTGAGATCCGTTTGCATTTCTGGAATCAGACAGTCAAAACGAATTTAATGATATGATCAAGTAATTTTTCTAAGAACTTTTTAATTTCCCCAACTCCGGCCCGGAACAGTAATTAATTAATTAAATTAATCAATTCTATTAGACCGGGTTGCAGGGCGTTACAAATTGACATGCTCCAAGCTGCAGGACGTGTTAGATCCCACTTGGTTGGAGAATGTTTTTATGGCTCCTAAAGGGCATAGGTTCATAATGTGCGTAGATTACATGGATCTGAACTGGGCCAGTCCAATGGATCCCTTTCCCCTTTCCAACATCGATCAAATGATTAACGAGACGGCAGGATGCGAGATAATGTCCTTCATGGGCGCATTCAGATGATATCACCAGATCTTCATGCATGAATATGATGCGAAAAAGATGGCTTTCCTTACTCCGGAGGGAGTATACTCTTACATGGTGATGGCCTTAGACCTGAAGAAAAGTGGAGCAACCTACACAAGAATGGTCAGCCGGGTGCTTCACTCGATTCTGGGGTAGCCAATGGCGGCGTAAATAGACGACATGCTCGTAAAAAGCAAGCAGGCATCTAATCATGCGGAAGACTTATCCTAGGTTTTTTTCCATTATGCGCAACTTTAGTTTACGACTTATCCCAAACAGTGTACATTTGGTGTACAGGGTGGCAATTTTTTAGGCTACCTTATAAGCAGACGAGGTATCGAGCACAACCCAAAGAAGGCCAAGGTGATCTCAAATATGGAGCCTCCGCGTTCCATCAAAGAGGTGCAGCGCTTCACTGGAAAATGGCAGTGCTTGGTCGATTTCTGTCTAAATCGACTGAAAAGAGCTTGTCCTTCTTCGGCACGCTGAAGAAGGTGCCGAAATTCCAGTGGAGAGCCGAATGCCAAACAAAATTCAAAAACTTGAGGAGGTATCTACTAACCCGCAGGGTATCTCGAAGCTAGTCAAATGGGAGAGGTTGTTTCTATACCAGGACGTTAGCCCTGGGGTGATAAGTAATGTGCTCATAAGAGATGGTGGGGAAGCCCAACGACCCATCTACTATGTCAACAAGACATTGAAGGACAACGAGCTCAGGTACTCGGTCGTGGAGAAGATGATTCTCGCCGTTGTCAATATGGTCAAGAAGCTCAACAACTACTTCCAGGCTCACGAAGTTGAGGTCCAAAGCCACCAGTCCTTAGGTGTCATTCTCTGAAACCCCATGGCATCAAATAGGTCGTCAAGTGGTCTGTATACCTGAGCCAATACCAGATCGAGATGAAGCCTCAGATAGCAACAAAAGGATAGACACTTACCAATTTTATTGTGGAGTGCATAGCTCCAAAGAACACAGCTGCACCGACAGCCGAGCAAGGTGATTAATGGACCTTGTCCGTGATGGACCCTCCACAACAAAGGCTTGTGGGGTCCAACGGGCAGAGCCCCTGGCCGGAGTCCAAAATCCTTCTGATTTTCGTAAACAATGTCAAAAATATTAGAAGATCTTGGACCTCGGATAAAGACCAATTATCGACCAAACTCTACGAATGTTTGCATCCAAAAATTAAAAGTCTACGATTATCCCTACTGCGTGAAAGTTCGCAAACTTTTACGCAAAAGATCATGTTTGATCGTCAAGTTTAATCTCTAAAAAATTGACGCTCAGGTATGGTTGAAAACACGATTTGAAAGGCTTGTTCTTAATTAACGTCTTATCCGATTAAAATATTTCGTATACCCCGAAATAACTTTGATCTGAAAACGTTCTACGCGATTCATTATACTCTATTAAGTTGTTGTTCTCATTCTTTGATAACGCTGCTCCACGACGTTCTTCCTCCATTCTACTTTTCTTACAGACTCTTCCTTAATTCTCTTCTCAAAAGTTCCTACCAGTGTTTTTCGAACTGCGGCATGGATAATTTTATCCCACACAATCTCAAAATAAATCATAATCAATGAATGCTTTGAATATATGTAACAATAGATTCTTCAATAATTGTGTAAAAAACATCCAATGACTTCTTTAATCAAATTCTAAAATAGCATCAAATGAACAAATTATTTCTTATTGGGCATTGGCAAAAAGATAAAAGTTTGAGCAAAATATTGAAAGTATACCAAAATAGGAGTTCAATATTATTATTTCCGAAACAAGAGTTAAAATGCATTTACATTACCAATCATAACCATGTATATTACCAAAATATATAGTAAAATACACAAGTACAATGTCACATTACCACAGTGTGAACTCCTATTTGGAGAATGAAGACATAAAACTCCAATTTTAATGTGATCTTTGTATTTTACTCCTATTTAGGTTGATTTCTTTTGAGCTATAATCAAATGACTTCGTAACAAATGATTACTTGTTAAGTGATCAAATGGCTTAGTGTGCATTTTGGAAGTCCTACTATAAAATATCTTTAGGTAAAAATATTAAATAAACCGTGAGACTTTTTCTTTTCAATAAAAAGTATAGTTTGAATACATACTGAATAAAAATAATAAATCAAGCAAACGTTCAGAGAAAAAAAGAGTTAACGGAACAAGCTATACCATTAAGTTAAAATAAATTAAATTTTGTCAGAGAAAAAAGAGGTTAACGGTACTGGCTCTACTGTTATACCTAAAAAAGTTGATAATGGATGGATGACCATCCGTGTTCTATCCAAAATCCAAACCCAACCCCCAATTTCTGTATTAATTTGGATGCTAAAATCTTTATTACTGTATTAATTTGCAGGCTTATGTACTTTATGATATCTCAACTAACACCACTAAACATCTTACATCAATCAATCCACCTAACAAAAAGTATCTCATCTAACACCACTAAACATCCTACACCATTCAATCCACCTAAGAAAAAAAATCTCATCTAACACCACTAAACATCTTACACCGTTCAATCCACATAACAAAAAATATCTCATCTAACACCACCAAACATCTTGAAGAAAATACATCAATAACAACTATACTTGGCATAAAATGACTCGATATTTTTTTACCCGAGACTCGACCAGAAAATACTGGATTTTAAAAAAAGGTTTTGTTGACTGAACCTGAAATGACCCGCTAAAAATGGGACAAACCTGACCAAACACAAATCTGATCCGACCGATTCGCTAATGTAAGAATTTTTCAAAATCATCTATACTCTATTTAAAAAGAGAGGAATTCCCCATTACATTTTCCCGCCTAAACATTTTAGTCACACAAGGTAAGTGCTAAAACTTGAATTGGTAAGTACAATAGGTGTCGTGTATAAGGTAATTAATGTTAGAATAAGAGACTAACGCTAGAGGGGGGGGGTGAATAGCGTTTGATCAAAAATCGCAGGAATAAAAAATGAATAAACGAGAAGTAAAGAGAAGAGTAAGAGGCACACCGATTTTACCCTNCTCGAGCTACACTACTACCTCGTTAAGCTTAACGGTGCTTAACAAACCCGTACAACTTGAGAATTCGAGTCACACGAACCTCAACGAACCTTCGAAGGAAACAGCCCTTCCTTCGAACAACAAGAGAAATACCTTCTCTTGTCAAGTGTTTAAGAACACTAAAAACACTCAAGAACAATACTCTCTTTTAGAGTGGATAATGAGTAAACTAAGAACGCTCAAGAACACAACACAAGCTTCACAAAAAATGGCTCTCAAAAGCTATGAATAATTGAAGAATAATTTGCAATGAAAGAGTAGGAGTTGTGAAGTAATGTAATGTTAAAAACAGACCCAAACACCCCCTTTTATAGTAGAAAAATAGGCTCCAACGTACCAAAGTATTTAAGGGGTGATTGGCACAATTTGTGGGATTCGATGAAATTTGGATCTGTTGAAATTCACCCAGACAGCGATGTCCTAGGCTTGGACATCGCTGTTCTAGGCTTGCGTTTTGAAAAATGGGAAGCAACGGTCATGCCAACAGCGATGTCTAAAATCCCTACATCGCTGTTTTGGCTGTTGACTTCCAAACAAGGAAAGTTTTAGCCTTAAATTCCTTCCAACGGTCAGGTCTCTACATCGATGTTCAATACTAGAACATCGTTGTTTAGGTCTGCCTTTGAAGATGGAAGTTTGGCCTGACAGCGCTGTTTCTGGGTCAACATCGTTGTCCAAAAACTTTCTGCCAATGCACAATATCTTTGGCTTAGGTTGGACAGCGCTGTAGGGAAGCCTACATCGCTGTTCCAGAAGTTTCTGGAAATCCAACCTTGGCTCAACAGCGATGTCTAATGTCCAACATTGCTGTTGGAGGACTTAACGCCAAACCATGGTTTTAGCTACCCAAGCCAGACAGCGCTGTTGGTTACCTCAACATCGCAGTTGGGCTGGTTTAGCCAGACCCATGGTTGGTTTAGTCACGCCGTTAGCCGATGTCAAAAAATGTGAGTTCTCCAAAATAAAAGCCAAGTATTGAAAATGTTTGTTTAATGCATTTTTCTAAGAAATAAAGTAAAACATTTTGAAAACCACGTCATTTAGTTGAAAACCACGGCTAGCCAAGTTTACGCCGTTTCGCATGGTTTTCACTAAGCGACCAAAACGAAAGGTGGTTTTTGAAGTGTTTTTGTTGGAGAACTATTTAAATATGCCCAGAAGTAAAAACTAATCATTAAAAGTTGAAAACCACTTGGTTGGTTCGAACGCCAAAAACCAACGCCGATAACCGAAAGCCGAACGCCGGTTTCCGAAGACCGAACGCCGGATGGCTTGGTTTTTGGTTTGGGCGATCTCCAAGTGTTTTCAGGCAGGTTTAAGACTTTAAGAAAATCATTTTGAATATGCAAAAAATATTTTGATGAAATGAGCCTAGAGAGCCATGTTTTGAAGGTTTGTGCCGGTCTTGATCACATTAAAACCGACTCAATATAATTCTAAGTCTTCATTCTTGATTCTTGGTTCTCAGTTCATCATGCCATGTTCTTTCGCCTTGGTTTTGCTCAGTTTAACCTTGTTATTGTCACAGCGGTTTGGCATTATCAAAACCTGTCATAAAACGAACACGGCTTAGTACGACATAGGCGTAAACCCGTGTTCCAACAATTAATAATTATTAATTATTATGGTAATGTGTAATAATAATAATAGAAAAGGTAGCATGTTAAACTTTAATAATAATATGGTACCATGTAATAATACTAATAATAAATGTAATAATTATTATTGGTACCGTGTGTAATAAAAAAGGTAACATGTGAAACTTTAATTATTAATTATTATTTATTAATAAGGTCATTTCATACATTAAAATTTTTCATATCGTGTAATAAAAAAGATAACATGTGAAATTTTAATTATTTAATTATTATCAATTGTTAATAAGGTAATTTCATATATCTTTAAATTTTGGGTGCGGTGTAATAAAAAAAGGTAACATATAAAACTTTAATTATTATATATTTATTAAGTGCTAAAACTTGAAATGGTAAGTGCAAAATCTAAGTGCCGTGTAAGGTAATCTCATAATTATTTACTTTCTGACACGGTATAGTACTTACATAATTATTTATCTCAATAAATATTAATTATTATGGTACCGCGTAATACTAAGAATAATATATGTAATAATAATAATAATAACGTAATAAGTGAAACTTTAATAATCATATGGTAATAACATGATACCGCTCATTGACTTTGCATGTAAAAGAATAACAAATGTAACATGTGAAATAATAATAATAATAATAATATGGTCATATTATGGTACCATATATTAATAATAACTAAAATAAGAAACGTAATAATAAAAATATTAAAAAAGGTAAGTTCGTTTAGTGCTATTACTGTTTATAAAATGAATAAGAGTGTTGCCTTAATTTAAAAAAATGTATTCTCATGTGAAAGAATAATAATAATATGGTAATATTATAGTACCGTATAATAATATACTCTTTACAGGAGTAATAGAAAAAAGTTCCCGCCAAAAGAATAACGGAAACTGTAGCACGGTTATGGTTTGCACGTCTCCCATTTTCATAACTTAATACTCTATTAAAAAAATCTTAGATCTAAAATCAAAATCAAACTACCTCCTCCAATTTCAATATCTTCGCTGCCTTCCTTTATCGATTATCTGAGGATGACTAACACCGGATGGCCCGATGACTCTTACGACCTCTAGCAACAGACGGCGATGATGACGGATATTAATTTTAGAGGATATATAATCCTAGGGAAACCCTAGTGTCCAATATACTCCCTTCGTCCCAAAAAGATCTTCTTGTTTTATTTTTTGCGCATCCTATAAAACACTTCTATATACATCTAAAATGCCTAAAATTTACTACATTTCTCATTTATTGTAAGTAGAAGTTGTTTTGAAAGTTTTTTTGCATTTGAAGCGGGATAGAAGTGTTTTATGAGACGCGCAAAAAATGAAACAGGAAGATCTTTTTGGGACGGAGTAGGACTTTGAAC